ATTTAAAACCTTCTAAAGCCTTTTTCTTATAGAAATGTTTTAGTCATAGATCTAATATATATTTAATTTGAAATAAATTAATTTGATCTCGGAAATTAATTCGTGAGCAAGCAAGAAGAGAATTTAATGAACTTGAACCCAATACACTTCAATAATATGAGTTAATTAATTAATTGGCCTTCATTAGTTGGATAATTCTTTGGAATTTAAAATTTACCCATCAAGATGAGATTTTTACGTGAAGATCTTGCTTTGTTGGAATTAATTTAATTCATTCCATTAAATGGGTAACAATTTATGATAAATTAAATATATTACTATTCATGTGAAAAATAAGTAGTCTAATTATGCCCATAAACTTCCTATATGTGGTGTGGCCCGCTGGGCAGAGTCCGTTGATCCTGTGAGATTATGGGAAATCCTAGAATAACATATAAATATAGGGTTATGGTCTCCAATATACTATGCTTGTTTAGTCTCCTATTCCCCATCCAATAGAGAGTATTGCCCATCTTTGGTCTAAGGCTGCATAGTTGAGGAAGACCTAAACCACACAAATATTGCTACAGGAATTTGGAATCTCTACTCATGAATTCAGGTAATTCGAAATAACTTATAGTTCTGTAGCCTACTCCCATGAATAGATCTTATATAAAGTTTTTGTTTTCTAACAAGATAAATAACTTATAGTTCTTTAGCCTACTTCCATGCATAGATCTTATATAAAGTTTTTGTTTTCTAACAGGTGGTATCAGAGCTTGATTTGCATGGTTGTTTGCTAAATATTTGACTGTTGTTTATGAATAAATTTGTTGGTTTTCCCTATAGTCAAATTTATTATTAAACAGCATGAATTATTAGAACTATTTGGATTGATTAGTTATTGGACAATTTTGAATAATTTAATTTGAAAGTCGTCTGAATTTATTGTTGATTGATTTAATAAAGTTTGATATATACGTTCTCCCCAATATTTTCCAAATCAATCGTATTATAATCAATTTAGTTACTGTTTAAAAAAAAAAATTCAATGATGACAGCACCCAACGCCGCGTGGAGATTCAGTTTAATAAAGAAAGAAATTTTTTTGATTGGGCACCTGGGTTTATTCAGTTAGAAAGAAAAGAAAAGAAGAAGAAGAACAAAGAAACAAAAGAAAAAGGGAATGCGGCGGCACTCCACTGGAGTGCCGCATGAGGCTGCTGTGCTAGGGTTTACACTCTAGCACATAAAGTGATATTTATTTATTATTATTATTATTTCTTTTTCCTTTTCCTTTTCCTGATTAATTCTTATAAATCTTCTTTATATTTATAATCTGTAATAAATTTTTGGGCATAAAAGTATGGAGTACAGTTTTTTATTATTATTATTTTTTATTGTGCTAATTAAAGGTTGACTATTACGGTGAATAAATTTATATTTAATTTATTGGTAGCACAATTTGTCTAATTTCTTTAAATGTTTTGATGCGTGAAATATGCTACAAAAGTAGTCTCTATTTTATAAATTGGGGCATTTAAAGTTCTTAGATGTAATGTATTTCTTGCTTATGCGGATTGTGATCGGCCTAAAGGAAGGTTGCAATTTGGGCAGACAACAAATACACGTGCAATAATAAATATGGATAACATAAAGTTGTGTCCTTGAAGTTGTTAGTCGGCCCAAAGGAAGACTATCATCTAAAAGGAATGAGTTATTAATGTTTTATTATTGTACTGAGAGTATCACTATCAAATTAACATTTTTTGTCCAAAGACTGAATGTAAATGTTGCATTATAGGTATGTCACTTGTCCTCATAAAGTTTATTTAGAATGTCATGAATATTTATATATATCCATGATACTTACTATATTGAGCTTGTGATCTTTATACAGTTAAGGTTGTTAATTCTGATAATATGTCCACTCAAGTCAACAACATTCCTAGACTGAATGTGGCTAATTTTAAGGACTGGAAAGAAGACATCCAGATAGTACTTGGTTGTATGGATTTAGACCTTGCATTAAGGGTAGACCGTCCTACTTCAACTGAGGAAAATCCTAATAAGGTTGAAATTGAGAAGTGGGATAGGTCTAATCGCATGTGTCTAATGATCATGAAACGTTCAATTCCAGAAACATTTAGAGGCTCTATTGTTGAGGGAACGAATGCCAAAAGCTTTCTAAAGGAAATGAAGCAGTACTTTACTAAAAACGATAAGGCAGAGGCGAGTACCCTTATGACAAAACTCACCTCTTCAAGATACGTTGGTAAAGGAAACATAAGGGAATACAAAATGCAAATGTCAAGTGTTGCAACAAAACTTAAGGCACTAAAGTTGAAAGTTTCTGAAGAATTTTTAGTGCATTTAGTTTTGAACTCTCTTTCAGCAGAGTATAGCCACTTTAGGGTGAGTTACAACACTCAGAAGGATAAATGGTCCCTGAATGAGCTAATCTCTCATTGTGTTCAATAGGAAGAGAGGATGTAGCGAGAGAAGACAGAAAGTGTTCACATGGCTTCTACCTCAAAGAGTGTAAAGAGAAAGAGAGTGAATAATGTTGCGGAATCTTCTAAGCAGAAAAAGGAAAAGAAACAGGATTCAAGACCTGCTTGTTTCTTCTGTAAGAAGACTGGGCACATGAAAAAACAATGTGCCAAATATGCTGTATGGCTATTGAAGAAGGGTATGTTTCTCTCCCTTGTTTGTTCTGAGATTAATCTAGCTTCTGTACCTATGCATACGTGGTGGGTAGATTCAGGTGCTACTACTCACATAAGTGTATCTATGCAGGGTTGCATTTGGAGCCGACCGCCAAGTGATGCTGAGGCTTTCATCTACGTGGCTGACGGCAATAGGGCAAAAGTAGAAGCAATAGGAACATTTAGATTATCTTTAGGAACTGGTTTTCATTTGGATTTGTTTGAGACTTTTGTTGTTCCGTCATTTAGACGAAATTTAATTTCTGTTTCTTCATTGGACAAATTTGGTTATTCTTGTTCATTTGGAAATAACAAACTAAGTCTTTTGCATAATTCAAATATTATTAGTACTGGTTCATTGATTGATAATTTATATATGCTTGATAATGTTCCTTTTGATAATGCAACATTGCATGTTTCATCACGCGGTACAAAGCGAAAATTAAATGAAAATACTGGTACATTATGGGACAAACGATTATGACATATCTCTAACACTAGAATTAAGAGACTCGTGGATGAAGGAATTCTTGATTCACTTGACCTAACAGATCTTCAGGTTTGTGTTAATTGTATCAAAGGAAAAGAACAAATAGGAGGAATATAGTTGCTGAAAGAGCTAAAGAAGTCCTAGAACTGATACATACTGACATATGTGGACCATTCCCCACGGCTTCATTGAATGGACAACAGTATTTTATCTCGTTGATTGACGATTATTCAAGATACTGCTACCTATATTTAATTCATGAGAAATCTCAAGCTCTGGACATGTTCAAATCTTTTAAAGTAGAAGTTGAACTTCAACTTAACAGGAAGATTAAAACCCTCAGATCTGATCGTGGAGGAGAATATTATGGTCGATATGATGGATCAGGTGAACAATGTCAAAGACGCTTTGCACTTTTCCTTGAACAATGTCGCATAGTTCCTCAGTACACGATGCCTGGGAAACCTAGCATGAATGGAGTTGCTGAGAGGCGAAATAGAACTCTTAAAGATATGGTAAGAAGTATGATTGCTCATTCTTCTTTGCCAGAGTCTCTTTGGGGAGAAGTATTAACAACCGCAGTGTACATAACAGAGTACCTAGCAAAGCAGAAAACAAAACCCCATATAAGCTGTGGACAGGAAAAAGACAACGCCTAAGGCATTTACATATTTGGGGATGTCCAGCGGAAGCAAGGCCTTATAAGCCAAATGAAAAGAAACTGGACTCAAGAACCATAAGTTGCTACTTTATTGGGTATGCTGAGCGCTCTCGGGGCTTTAAGTTCTATAATACCACTTCAAGAACCTTTTTCGAGACGGGAAATGCTCGATTTCTTGAGAATATTTAGTTTGAGGGGAGAAATAAAAGTAAAGATGTTGTCTTTGAAGAAGAAAATGCTACTATCATGAATGATGTGGTTACTTTACCTACCATTGTCAGTAAAATAGTTTTAGATAATGACACTCAAGATAAAGTTTCAACGCTTGATGTCATTACCTCTCAAGACAACACTGAGGACACACCACCCTTCCATATAGATCAATCTCAACATACTCAAGAAATGTCATTGAGAAGATCCACTAGAGTAAGAAGAAGTGCAATACCAGATGATTATATTGTATTTCTTCAAGAACATAAGGATAGCATTGGCCTTACAGAAAATGATCATATCAATTTTCAACAGGCAATGAAAAGTTCTAAGGTAGATAAATGGATTGAGGCTATACAAGATGAGATGAAATCTATGAGTGACAATGGCGTTTAGGATCTAGTTGAGTTGCCTGCAGGAAAGAAACCTATTGGTTGTAAATGGATATTTAAAACCAAAAGGGATTCAAAAGGCAACACTGAAAGATATAAAACACGTCTTGTTGCAAAAGGTTTCACTCAAAAGGAAGACATAGATTATAAAGAGACTTTCTCTCCAGTTTCCTCGAAAGACTCTTTTAGAATTATTATGGCACTGGTAGCACATTTTGACTTAAAGTTACATCAGATGGATGTTAAGACGGCTTTTCTCAATGGAGACATTGTTGAAACCATTTACATGGAGCAACCAGAGAACTTTGAATCAGGAAATCCAGAGTCAATGGTTTGTAGACTAAAAAAATCCATCTATGGACTCAAGCAAGCTTCCCGTCAATGGTACCACAAATTTCATAATGTCATTACTTCTTTTGGTTTTGAAGCTAATGTAGTTGATGAATGTGTACCACAAGAACAGTAGGAGTAAATATATCTTCCTAGTATTATATGGAGCTGACATCTTATTGGCTTGCAGCGATTTAAACCTGCTACAAGAAACCAAGAACTTTCTGACAAAACATTTTGAGATGAAAGATCTTGGCAATGCCTCTTTTGTCTTGGGTATACGGATATTGCCAGATTAATATATATTTAATTTGAACTAAATTAATTTAAAACCTTCTAAAGCCTTTTTCTTATAGAATATTTTAGTCATAGATCTAATATATATTTAATTTGAACTAAAGCAATTTGATCTCGTGAATTAATTCGTGAGCAAGCAAGAAGAGAATTTAATGAACTTGAACCCAATACACTTCAATAATATTGAGTTAATTAATTAATTGGCCTTCATTAGTTGATAATTCTTTGGAATTTAAAATTTACCCAACAAGATGAGATTTTTACGTGGAGAGCTTGCTTGAGCCTACTTTTCACTAATTTAAACCTTCGTAAAAAGAAAATAATGGAATACTGTGTTGCCCACGTCGTAGTAGTGAGGAAGAATATGAAATTCATGCCTTGTGATCTTGTAAATTGGTGAAAATCCGACTTCTAAACTTTATGATAATGTCTAGCTTGATATTCATACACTGTTTTGTAGGGCAACTAAGGATCTTAGCAAGGAAGAACTCAATGTTTTCGTGTTAATCCTATGGTGGTTTTGAAATTAGAGGAATTATCGTAAGGTTTTTGGCAAATTATTAGAAGAGCAATTGTTTCACATCGGAAAGGGTACAATGAGGGGGTGAGCTCCACGTGCTATCAAAAGGCCCATGGCTTTTAGTTTTATTCTAATTGAAATATTTAAGTTTGGTATACGAACTCTAGTTGTTTGAGTGGTATTTGCTTTGAGAGTGTTTTGTTTACTTGGGATTAATGAGAGAATTCTATGTAATTGTAGTAATTTTTCAGATAGTGGGTTTTCTTTTGTGGACCGTGGTTTTATTCGATTCAGACTTTTTCATGTAAATTATTGTATTTTTTTATTGTTATTATTTCCTTTTAATTTCTCAATTATTACTTGCTTATTCCTACGGTAGAAGTATGAGTTTTTTCTCATCAAGTGATATCAGAGTTAATCGTGTGGGTTGTCTATTTGCATATTTTCTGAGAGTGTGAAGCAGATATGTCAATCTTTATGAGTAGAGTGAAGATTGAGGGTTGCAAGCGCGATAAGAACACGTTTGGTTAAGAATGTCCTTGCAAACATGGGTGGAATTTTTAGAGCCAAAGAACTTTGGGAGAAGCTTTAAGGATTCTATCAAACAATTGACATCTCAAATCAGTTGTACCTAAAGGACAATTTCAAACGTTGTGAAAAGAGGAAGAAACGAAAATCATGGATCTTCTAAGTGTTCCCAGTAGCATCATTTTTTAGCCGAAGGCAATTAAAGTGAAGGTAGATAATGAAGATAAGGCACTCAGACTCATCTTATAACTTTCACCTTCTCGTACGTATGAGAAGGAGACTTTGAATTTTACAGAGGCTACTATTAAAATTTTGTCAGAGAAAGAATGTTGAAGAGTGAAGGGCGTACTTCAGAGGAATATTCAGTTGTGGTAGGTAGCAATTAGAAGAAGGAGAAAGATTTCGTGCAAAATCAAGTTTACTAGAGATGTGGACAATCAGGGCACATGAAAAAGGATCGTCCTAATATAGTCTATTTATCACAGACTCTGGGTCGGATGTAGACAATGTTTCTCTCATTAAGGGAGATGATGAGTTCTTCTGAAGAGAGAGATAATTCATCTTTATGGCATGTCCTCTTTGCCATGATAGAGGATGTGATGTTAACAGTTTCATAGGTTTACACACGAGCATTGACTTGATGGTTATGCAAGGTGCATGTGGTAGAAGTTATGTCGATTGCTGGAGAACTTTCAAATGAGCTAAATAGATGAAAGTTGCATCATAAATTTCAGCAGGATTTATCGACATGTGACAAAGAAGAAAAGTTTTGGAAGGTGACATTCTAAGTGATCTATTTTTATGGTGGAGTACGTTATATAGTTATCTGAATTGAGAATTATGATTGTTAGTGAAGACAATGAATGTAGTACAAGTTGTGGATTTTTAAAATATCTTCCCAACTCAAAATTTGTAAGGTTTTTAGCAAAATATTAAAAAAGGAATTGTCCCACATTAGATAAGTACAAGGAGGGGTGCGTGCTTCAAGTGATATGAAAGAGGTCTATGGCTTTGCGTTTTATTATTCCCAATTGAAACACTTTAACTTGATATACTAACTCTAGTTGTTTGAGTGGTATTTGCTTTGAGAAAGTCTTTTGTGTAATTAGGGTTGGAGAGTGAATTGTGTATCATTGTAATATTTTTTCACATATTAGATTTTCTTTTGTGGGTCGTGATTTTTCTTTGGTTGGAAATTTACCAATATATTCTTGTGTTTTATTTATTATTATTATTTCATTTTAATTTTTCAATTACTTTCTACTAATCCATACAATATAAGTAGGTTTTTTTTTTTTTTTTCTCTTCAGCAATCACAACATACACAAGCAAGACGTGTTTCTAC